TAAGAGGGGAGTAGTGTTATGAACACACAAAGGAACTAACGCCATCTTGCGTTAACTAGTAAAACCACTAAAGAACAAAGACGACATAAAACACCCTATTCAATACTAGATAGCGTTAGAGGAACTGCTGTGGAACTATAGTCTCGAAAACCGGGTACATTCGCGAACTTTCCAGAATCACGATCATGTTCGTGCGTGTCGGGTACGTTCCAGGAAGGAACTTTCCGGATTAGTCTGGGGCTCGTCTCGGCCCATATAAAAAGCCGCAGGGAGGCGAGCGAGTACAGTTCAGTTTGAGCTACCTTCGAGGCGACTTCGGAGCGAAAACTAGTGATCAAGAGCGATACCAGTGAAACCTACGACTTGGCTACAAAATAGGACATCGTTAGTGCTTAGTGTTTGGACCTAGTGCTTTGTGTTGGACCTAGTGCTTGAATAAAGTCTTCAAAAGAGTCAGCAGGTCTTTCTCTCCAAATCCTTCGAACCCTAACACGTAACAATATTCAGTGAAATAAAATAAAAAGAGTAAATCGGTTCCTAGCCTAATTTGCATTTACTTTTTAAGTATTAGTGTAACCATTCTTTTAAATTGATTTTGGGAAAGTGAAAACAAATCACAATTCATAAATTTAGAGTTATACATCTAGCACCCTACGAAGCGGTGCTCGCTGCCCAGCATTTGTTCTCACTTTTCAGTGTAGAATAATCGGGGCACGCGTGTATCACGTCTGGTAACTCTTCTTGGTACAATGTAAGCAATTTTGTTAGTAAACTCCATACAGTCGAATATATAATTACATAATCCATATAACAGCATAGACACAGTAAGAGTGCGCCTGGACTCCAAACTCAATATTTTTCTAATGATTGTACATAAGAAAGCCTGGCGTGAAAACATGTGCATGGTGCGTAAGAACTTCTTTTGTACAATTTCTAATCATGAAATGTATTTTTCATAGAAGGAATTCCATATTGGAACAGCAAATTCTAATTGAGAACGAACCAAGGTTTTGTATAAGAATAGAAAAGTCTAAGGACGCTTAAAGTCGTTGGTCGAACGCATAACAAATCCAAACAACCTAAAAGCATTATTGATAATATTATCAAGTGTATATTAATGTGCAGCTTTGAATCTAGCGTCACACCAAGATCTCTAATGATGTTAACCCGTTCTAAGTGTACATCATTAATAGAGTAATTGAGTAGTAAAGTAAAGTAACAGCCTATACATATCCCACAGCTGGGCAAAGGCCTCCTATATACAGAGGGTATCAGGGTATAGTCCACCACGCGGCCCCACTGCGGATTGGCGGACTTCACATATCTTGGAAATTGATTTTTTGTTATTATTATTATTTCGAAAATATGCAGGTTTCCTCACGATGTTTTCCTTCACCGTGGAGCACGTGATAAGTCAGCACTTAAAGTTAAAAACTTCATTGTTGCCGGCACCGGGGATCGAACTCAGGTTGCTCGAGTATATTGAATTAAAGGCGAGCGCCCGGACACTGAGCAATCACGGTAATTGAAATTAAGTATAATTTTCTCTTTGTAAAAGATATCATTTTACATTTGGAGAGACTAAGGTTTAATTTATTTTCTAGACAGTATCTAGAAAATCTGTTCAGATCCTCCTGAAGAAATAAGCAATCCTCCAGAATTCGACATGTCTTGTTAATTTTGATATCGTCACCAAACATTAAAAACTTTGAATGAAAAAAATAAACAAAATTTAAGATCATTGATGAATAAAATAAAGAGAAGAGACCTTAAGATAGATCCTTGAGAAACTCCGGCAAACAATTATATAATCTGATTCAAAGTCAGTAATAACAATTTTATGCGTCCTTCGAAATATGTATGACGAAAACCACCGCAGCAAATTTCCACGGACGCCATTATATGCTATCTTGTCCAGAAGTAATTTATGATCCACCTTATCAAAGGCTCTTTCGAAAGTCAGTGTATACTGTATCAGTTTTCTGTTGCACGTCCATATTCTCAAATAAGTGCTTGTAAATACCATAAGATTGGTAGTTGTGGATCGACGTTTTATAAACCCTTGTTGTTCAGGTATGATAAAATTGTGAATATAAGGATACAAAGTGTTGTGAATTAGTTTTAGGAATAGCTTGGACAAGGTGCTTACTTTAGAAATTGGTCTATAATTTTCGATATTACTTTTATCGCCACTCTTATAATTATAATTGGAGTAATGTAAGAAGCACGCTTCCAAATGTGTGGAAAGTTGTCTTCCATAAGGCAATTATTAAATAAAATTTGTATTAGGAAAACAATATGCTCTGCAGTTGATTTAAAAAAAAAATAGGAGGTATACCATCAGGTCCAGGATTCTAGTTCAAATCTAAATTTTGAAAATCAGGGAGTACATCATCGGTAGTTAAGTGTATCTGGCTTAAGCAAGAATCATTAGTAGCAAAGTTAGGAGGTTGCCAGTTTATAGGATCAAAAGAACGGCTTGTACACGGATGTGCAGAAAGCTGAGAATAAATTACGTATTTAAGTAGGATCATTAGAAAAAAACATTTTTAAATGCATAATAGCGTGAAGACTACTTTTACCTTTTCGGCTAGACACATACTTCCAAAAAAACTTTACATATTAGAATCTTCAACTGTATTTATATACTTATTGTAAAATTTATTCCACTCAGTTTTGAATCGAGTCCGAAGGACAGAAAAGATTTTATAGTCCGATGTATTACTCTCTTCCACTTAATCCAAGCGCTTTCTTTTTATTTGAAAATACTAATAAGTGGAGGAGAAAACCAAACGGGAAATCGGGTATTTTTGTACGAGTAAGAGGGACATGTGATTTTACAATACTATATATAACATCGTAGAAAACATCGACAGCCTCCTCCGGAGAATTATGTGTTAGTATATTTTTCCAATTCTTATTACTTAAGTCTTTCGTCTCTTTTCTTTGTAGAAATTAGGCAAAGATAAAGGGCGTCATATCATAAGCACAACTTCCTAAGTGCGAAAACACGCAAAATGGAGGATGGAAGTTATCTGGTAAAGTAGTGGCATGCAAGAGTTAAAACGGCATTCTAAGTCCGATATGAACAAATCAAGTATGCGATCAAGACTATTATTCAATTTGTTATACTGGGAGGTATTATTAAGTGATACAAAGTCCAACAATAGACGACACGTAGTAGGGGTTGATTTTGAATGAGCATAGGTTTACCATATTAAACCAATCAATATCGGGAACGTTGTAATTGCCTGCAATAAAAAATGAGGATGTACTAGGGCTATTTAACTTTACACCAATCTTCTGTGAAGCTATGGCCATTGTACTTTTCCAGGCTCTTTCATGTAACATTACGCCATGCAGAAGCTGCTGCGTGGCTAATGGCAATGCTACGATAAAAGTAATGTGTTTTGTCAGACCTTTAAAATTATCAATTTGTGTATGTCGACTTTGGTTTTGGCACCATTGTGGTTTTTAAAAATAACTATTTTGGATCTATCTTAATTCATAAGCGATGAACACTGGAGATTTGCAGCAGAAGAACGTTGGTTGGCTAACAATTTGATTGAAATATATTCAATATAAGCGAATTTTAAACAATACAAAATTTTCGAGTTGCAGATATTCTAACCTTTTTGATAGATCATTTTAGTCGTTTTGAGTCCACTGCTGAACATAACAATTGTGGACTCATAAGACTAAAATTATGATGATATTGAAGCCACACTTTCAAGTTATTTATTGTAATTTTTTCGAGGACATACTCAACAAAACGCACAACTAGGTGAAATGACCATGGCTAAAAGTGTATAGAGGTAGGACGAATTAGGGGGTCATTTTAGAATCTAGATGAGGTGTTTAATTAGTACCTAAATTATTGCGTATATGACATTGGAGATGCACATCCTGTGAACTAGTATTTGTAAGCCATACGTCCCAGGTGAGCACGTAAATGGTGTTTTCGTGTTTATTTGGAGGCAGTTCTAAATAATTACATACGCATTGCTTCGCAGTTGTGCCCGCCGTTCAATCAACTAGGTACTTGCTTTATAGTAGCAATAGGCTGTATATGTAATATGCAAACGAGAAAAGCATTGAAATTTGTTAAACAGTAAACTCCTTAATTAAAAAGCAAGCGATTGTTCCCACCCAACCCTGTAGAAATATGGAGAAACTTAGCATAATATAATTAACAGACAATTGAAAAAAATACTATGTACTAACGTTTGACTTTTTATTCAATGTTATAATACATAAGTATATAAATGTATGGGTGAAATTTTTGGCGGCATTAAATAGTTTTTTTACTCTAACAACATAATACAAATATGAATAGATGTTTTGTTATTTCAATACACCATGTAAATTGAAAACTCAGGCAGCGCGAGAAGCAGGCGTAGAAATTAAATGCGTTTGCTGTTTTTAATGCTTAAAATGTGTTTAATGTTATGGAGTTCCGTATGTTTGCTATGTGAATCAAACAATAATCTGCTAACATCAAATAATTATGTGCTAAAAAGTACCTACTTCTTGATTAGCGATCTGTAATGGCTAGGAAAGGGCCCAATTAAAGTATTCACTTTGATATTTGAAAAAGTAAAATATTTGATGAATATTTGTATCAGTTTGCCATTAATAACGATGTTATTTGCACTCAAGGCATTGATACATACATATTACATTTTCGCCCTACTATATAGTTTGTTTTTACTGTAAAAAATATAAAATAAATTAATAAAAACACTATTTACATATAATATATCACAGTTAGTTTGTCTTGTTACTAATATTTACAAAACAATCATACTATAAAACACCGTTAAAACATAATTTAAGAAGCGTTAAATATTTTAGAAAAAAAAATCTTAAAACTTATGAATAAAAACAGAAAATTGTCATGGTAAGTTGAAAAGCGATACTATTTTTAACAATTCGATTGAATCAATCGCTTTTCACAAGATTAATTTTATAGATACAATTTTTATTGGCACTATAAACTATGCATCTCCACTCCCGTTTCCTCGTGGTTTTATACGGCTTTTTCCTAAGCTGCCTTCAAGGGCTAATCGGTTATTAGCGATATAATCATTCCCTAAATTAGGAAGCCTTCCAGTGCTCGCGGACCTTCGCAGACCAGAATTTGCAGCATGAAGCCTCAGCGTGTTGTTTCCATTTCGAGTCACTTCGGCCGTGGAAAGTGCGCGGGAACAAACGTCTAAAATCTTGTCCAATGTCGCACCACTTATTCTATCGTTGTTCTCCAGTCTGGCAGTTTGAATGTTGTCTGTATTTGAGATGTTTCTATTGCGTTGCTTCAGACCAACGTTTATCAGTCCCAAAAAACTGAGTTTGAAAGGAATGTTAAGTATGTAATTGAAAATTATCATTATCAATAGGAATATTAATAGAACATTTAATGTAACTATCAGGATTCCATACATTATTTTATCTAGCGGAAACCATAGACCATCTGAAAAAGAAAATAGAACGGATTATTAAATAGAAATTTTCAGCCGATATCAAGAAAATGGCATCCCTCTTTCTCTTCTGAAAACGTAACATTAAATAATACACCTGGATTAATATTAAAATGCACGATCGAATTCGCGTGTAGCTTTGGTATTGAAAAGTATTGATATACTACCGTTGCGGAACACAAAGAATTGTTAACAAAACTATTTTTCAAGAGATCTTAAAATTTTCTGTATCCGTTAGTTGTAAAGCACGCAAATCCACCAACCGAATCTCAACGCGACTGTTTATTTTTTATGGAAAAGGGGCAAACGACAAAGTGCCTCCTGATGATGAAAAATTACTGCCGCAAAATGACACACGCAATACCGCAAAACATGTGTTCCAAAGCCAACCTTCAAGATGGTATTGGTAGTTTGTCACTTTGCAACTTAGCAGCAGGTATTAATACGAACAATTACTCATAGCTACGATTCCTAAACTTCGCTCGATTTGATTTACTCTCCGTCTACGAACCGGTCGAGGAATGGACGAACGAAAATATACACAACAGCCCGAAAGTATTTTCCAAAACAATATTTATTAACTTAAGTAATCTAACAGCATTACAGATTTCTAGTGCTTTATAATTTTATGGTAAAAGTGTGGCAATTAAGGATTACAGAAACAAATCATACATTTTTTTTATAAAATTATTATACATTTAGGTTTATAATAGTGGTATAATTCGAATTTGAACGGTGGTAGGGCCACGCAGCAGCCTCGGCTGTTGCACAAATGGGCAGGCCCGTCCGGGTAAGTACCACGACCTCACAGAAAACCAGCGTAAAGTGGAAGTATGAAAAATACTTTCGCGTTTCGTCTGGTAAGTGGGGGTAGCCGGAGCCCAATTTTTTAAAAGGTTTTTTATTGTGGCATATATTTATTTACATTATTAGGAAACTTACAACATACAAGAAGTAAGCTTTACATGCTTAAATACAATTAACAAAGATATTTAGCCATGAAAGAAGTTACAACTATATACATTTTTTTATTAATGCTACGTATGTGCACCAGGCGTAATATACATTTTATCTGTAGTGTGTGTGTGTGTAAGTGTGAGTGAAACTGTGTAAGTGAAAGTGAAGAGGAACCATCAGTCAATAAGAATGATTCCTACCTATAGTTGACAATATTTGGCGACTTGTTGGCGCCTGGCTCAGATGCTAAGCTATCGGCTTCGAGGGTCTTGGATTCGATTCCCATATGAGACAACTTAAATACTTTGTCCCGTACGGGAATCAAATCTATGGAAATGTTATTTATTTGTCACATGAATGTGTGATGCATAAATATATGTTCAATAGATTTGCCATATTTGTAGTATTGGAAACAGTGTATATTAAAATGCATGAATCTAGGTAATATGAAAATAAGAAATATTTATAATAATACACAATTTAAATAAACACCTTACCTGTAATTCCATGAATAATGGTGTTTATGGTGTCACTTATTATTATCATTGGTTCAGATATCAATACAGTAAATATTCTTATTCCAATTTTCAAAGGATTCATATGCTTCAAGAAAATAAGTGGGTCTGGAGGTGGCACTTCACACTGTGATGACCATATGTACCACTTACAGGTGTTAACTGCAGATAAGAATATTTCTATTTGTTGTTTTTCAGCTTCCTTAAATTTATTACAAACATTAAATTAAAACAGGATAACTTAATTTGATGAAACCATGGCTTCGGCGTCGGGGGTCGTGTGTTTGATTCCCACATGGGACAACTATTTGTGTGACCCACAGCAGTTGTTTCACATTTGGTTGTTTGTCCACATGAAATTTATGTTTGTAAAATGTCCTTACAAAATAATGTTATACTTAAGTAAGGGTTTATAATAAAATATATGACATGGAATAATTTATATTTCATGATCTGTTCCAAACTCATATATAAAAAGAGATTTTGCTTCACAAAACTAAGAAAGTAGTTAATATGATAGTTGTTTCCACATTCTTAGTAATCAATCCCTTCTCATGCTGATTCTGATATTTAATGTAATATAATAGTCACTACTCGTAAGTGACTTTGATCATTGTCAATTTGAAAAAATACAACTGTAGTCAAATTTCTTACAATAAAATGTATAGTTAACAAAATGTTTAAAAATTTTAAAACATATGATAAAACTGGCGAGAAATTTTTCGCCAAAGGTATACAAGTATTACAATCTGCACCTACTACCTACCTAGATTGGCTTAGTACCTAGATCACCTAGATAGGAGATCTAGGTACTAAGCCAATCGCCGTCCTCACCGCGCAAATAGACAAAACATAGGTCACATATTTTGCTATTGCATTTTAATTAAATTTTCATATAATGGCAGTGCCTAAAATTATGTGACAGTTTTACTAAAATATTTTAAGTTTCATCTTAAATGCAGAGCCTAGCACTAAAAATTTACTTTCTATACATACTTATTTAGAAAATAATTGGTAACATTTATAGAAAATGTATACCGTGAGATTTTTCGAGAAGTGCCCAAATTTACACAGGAGGTTCAGACTCGGTAGTATAATCGTTTATTGAAATAAAAAACAAAGTTTTTATTCCAAAAAAATGCCATTCTATTCCCTAAAAAACAGAACGTGTTGACAATGCGGTAATCATTCATAAGTAACTAAATTTTACTGTGCACGAACTTGTGTGCGTGTTAGTTATAAATGATCGTGCTTAAAATAAATGAGTTGCGTATAAATCACGCACTTTTTGAGATAAGTTCAAATGAATGTAATTAATTACTTATGAGTGATTTTAAATATTTATCATTTTTGATATAACTAGTTTGTCTAGAATTTAATTAAAAAAAATGGATACACTTAGAAAAGCCACCCTGTATTATGCATTTTTATATAAATTTATTCATTGAAAATAATTTATTATGATTTATTCATTTATATGGACTTTCTTTTAAGAATTTAATTATTAATTGTTATTGCTATAAAGGTATTTATGAATTTAATTATTGCTATAAAGGTAGCCATTAGCATATAATATATAGCATATATTAATATTTTTTTTTTACTTACCTTATATGAAATAAAAACTTCATATAAATACAAAAATGAAAATGACAAAATTAATATGTGTTTATGAGAAATGTAGTGCCAGAGCCAAATTAAACCCACTTTTATAGTGATAACTGTAAATATCCATGTTATTTGGACCTGAAAACAAAAAAGTTGTACTGTTATTGACTTGTTTATAGCCTTTTAAAACATCTCCAACAATTAATTTGAAATATACAGCTGTTTAATACAAATATCAGTCAACAACATTAAAATATACAATGTGGCGCTATTACCGCAACCATAAATCAACACACATATAGAGTAATTTTTTTTTAAATATTATTAAACATACTTTCTCTAAACGTCAATATTTACCGAACGTTAAATTTTTAATAGTGCTAATCTCTACACTTGATGTTAAACATTAAAATTTATAGAAAACATACAAAAAGATTGCCGCTGCTTTTGGAATCGAACTTTCGAATGCTTTGGGAACTGAAGCTTTAGCCACTAAGCTAAACGGCTGATTACCAACCGACGAAAACACACAGCTACAGCAGCAGCAAACTTTTCATACTTTTTCTAAAATTTTAATATTTACTGAGTTATTTAATTTGCCAAAACAAATAATTTTTAAACACCCATACATATATAACTGTAACGTAAAGTTAATTTGTTTAGATCACAAAGCAGATGAATTGAAAACATACTGTTGGAAGGGGAGTCTAGTAATGTGACATTGTGGCAACTAATGAAAAAGTCTCTGAATGTATGAATCAGTCAGTTGTAGTTTTATAGGTGTAATTTTGTTTCTTTTATATTTAATTACTTAGTTGGTTTAAATTTTTTTTTAATCAGTTGCAGTTGTAACCCCATGCTGTATATACTTTTAAATACTTCATATTTATATTAGGCTTACCTTGTATTCGGTTAAGTAAAATTGAATATATTCTGACCAAGCTATAACTATATTTTCCATTATACTTGGTTTCTGGATTGAATCTTCAATATACCCCACCGAACGCCTAAACATATTTTCAGTGAAATGTTTGTTTGTATTTATATATTCATTTAGGACACTCCATCTTTCATGATCAAATTTCATTTGTAAGGAGATATCAATTGTCTCATCCTCATTTATCTATAATAGTTATCATACTTTTAACATTATTAAAGTAATTAATATGTGAAAAAAATATATTGCTTATTTGTTATTGGTTTACCCTTCATTTACATCAAAATTTAATGGAATTAAAATATCAAGGTATTATTTAAATGATGACTTATTAATAACCAACAGCAAGTATCAAACCTGCACTTTGCCACCTTTTAAAACAATAGCTAGTAATCTTTTGTAGAACCATTCACCCTGTCCAGGGCTGTTTTCGGTATGTATTTTTTTCATCGAAACTGTTCGTAAATCCGAAGGTACACCAATTTCACTGGATAATGATTGAGAGAGTTCACTTTTTTCATAATCCCATGGGTCAGGGCCTATTTGAGAACTACACATATAGCATTTTATAAAGAGTAAAATATATAACCAAGAACTCTTCATCTTTTTGATTACTGAACAATTGATAAGATCTTAGTTTTTAACTTATAAATGCTAAAATAATTATCACTTATTAGAATTGAGTAATTATAGTTAATAGGTTTAAATTTTAAAATTTATATTGCAGGACTGAAAAATAGTCATAGAGCTATGAGAAATAAGAATGTACTTTTCAGATATATAAAAGTACTCTTTGGTACTTTTGTTTTGAAATTTGCAAATTGATTGTTAGATTTTGTCTTGATGACTTTGACAGTTGGATAATAAACGTAGATAGTCGTCCTTCCGGTTACACAGGTTAAAAAAATTCTTCTTCGACAAATTCAAAAACCCACTAAATTCAAACCAACATTTTCTAACCGTAAAAAGTGACTATTTTTTTCTATACTATCAAACAAGGTAACAATTAACTCATAAAATTAACAATTTCATAAAATGGTGAAGAAAATTAATTAATTTTTGCATATTACTTTATAAATGAATAGGTTCACAATAAAATTAAGTTCAAAATAAAATCAATAAAAGTAAAATAATAAGTTTTATTATAAAACATATCCGACATGAAATACGAAATACGCCGCAGTTATCACGCTTTCGCCGCGATCGCCGTACCGTGAACCTACGCACCGTCACCCGTACAAGCCACTTAAGCCACCTTAAGCCCAGTGGATCTGTAAAGTCCTTTTCAAGACCAACATTGCAATGCAGAAGAATAAAGTCCCGGAAATCTACGACCAAGCTTTTCTTAGTCTAGACCCCTAAAATGTATTATACATTCTATTACAATAGGCTTAGGCTAGACGTACACCAAAGCTTAAGATACTATTAAATACAAATTACATTAAAACTATTACATGCAGCCAAAACTATTACATTATATTTTCTTAGTAAGTAATTCTGTGTATTTTTTTTTTCAAAAATGTAAATAAAATTTATTTCCTAAAATAATTCCCAAAAAATTTTCCTCCCACAAAACTTTTATTGTATTTTTAGGGTTCTGTATCCAAAGGGTATAAGGGAAATTTTGGAAATAACTCTTCAAAAAGATAAGTATAGAAAAAAAAATTAACGGAAAGTCCTCGTAAATAGTTCATTGAATAAAGATTATTTATATTCCGTGGTAATAGTTGAAAAAAAAAACACGTATGGTTTAATCTTTTAAACAATACAAAGTAGATATTACCCACTTTGTATTGTTTAAAAGATTAAACCCAATAAAAGCATTTTAATGTTGGATTGGTCATTTTTGTAAATTAACGAAACTATAGTACATTTCCCCGTACTATCCTTAGTGTCTTTCTCCGTCATTCCATACTGTATCGAAAGTATATAGTACAAAGCACGAAATTATAGTACAAAATCCTACTCTGATTTTGTGATTGCCTTGCATTCAGTTAGTTACACTTTTGCTTAACTGGCGCCCACATGGCATCAATTGTTTTCTCTACTCCGTGGTCCTAACCTATATCATTCCAGACTCCACTAGACATGTACTATCTATGAATCTATGATCTAATCTAAATATTAAAGTGAAATTTAAAGATCAGAGCAAGGAGTACTTTTTTATATTATAATTGGAATTGGATAATATATCTGAAATTGGATCAGATACAATTTGGGGGATAAATGGTTAATGAATAGTCTATATGGAGAAATCGGCAAGACGTAAAGCTTTAATGATAAGTCCTAAATTGATATTATAAAATTAGTGCTAAGTGCTTTAACAACAATTTTGTTCAAAGCTTAATTTTGTAACCAAGAGTTTTCTGCGAAATACACAATATCTATTTATTTGTATTATTTTTAAAATGTCTTCTATAGATTTGGATCCGTCTATTAAACTTTGCCTTAAGTATTTACAATCTAGCGCGGCAGATTCTACCGAACAGCTCAGATTAACTTTAGACGAAGTTATTCGACAAACATATGGTAGCTCTAAAACTCTGGGCAATGTGTTACCAAAAAAATATTTAGCCGAAGAAAAAATGGAATCCTCGTCACGGTCAAAACATAAAGGCGATAAATCGAACAGTTCAAGGACTATTCCTGTACCCCAGCAAAGTCCTCAGCAGATTCAAATTCCGGAGCGGGATGATGATGATGGTGATGTAATGGATGGAGAATTAGCATTTGATCTGTTGGAAGAAGACCTAACCTGTGTAGTGTGTAGGCAGATTGCAGTACAGGCTGGAAATCGATTGGTTGAATGCGATGCCTGCCATGCTCTTTACCATCAGGTGCATTTAATCAATATTTCTTTACACAACATTCTTATTTTTAGAATAATTTTTTCGGTATATTCTGTGGGTCATATTTGAAATTCTAATGTTACAAATAGGAGTTTTTAACAAAACTATTTATGAAATTTTTAGGACTGCCATAAGCCCGTCATTAGTGACAATGATATGGGCTCAGGTTGGCAATGTGCTTCATGCCTTTCATCTCAATGTCTGGCAGCAGGATTTGCCAGCAAGACATCATCATCTTCAAAATCACCATCACATGTTTCTGGATCTACTACTCCTGTCAAGATATCTTCCAGTAGTTCTGCTTCTTCATCACCTTCAAAAGTTGTGACTCCAAATATTAATATTATATCTGCTGCAGATAAAAGGCTGCAGATAATGAAAAAGAAGGCTGCTAAGCAGCATGAAAAGAAAAAATCTTCTAAATAGATAATTTAAAAGTTGTAATAATAATGTTTTACAAATATTAAAATGCATTTTAATTGCTATCCATTTTAATTATTTATCTTTAATCAAAATTTTGTAATTTTTACTTTCAAGTCTTTGAGTTATTAAAAATATTAAATAGATATAGGGCGCTACAATAATTAAGCTTTGTAAGTTAACTTTAAATTTACAAAGCTTAATTATTGTAGCTAACTGGTTAGTATTGGTTAAGACTTCTAGATAAATCTAGTTTTGTGATAAATTATTTTTTTTTGTAACACTTGAAATATGCATTATAGCTTCCTAAAGCATCAAAATAAAGTACTAAATTTAATTTAGGAATAAGTTTAACAATAATTTTTGAAATAATTTATGTATAAAATAATGTTTTTTGTTTGTCATTAATTAACTTACAATCACATATTATGCTGTCACATTTGCTTTGGCCACCTTTTTTTTGGATTTAAGGTCTGGTATCAAGGGCCTCTAACTTGGCCCCCTAATGCTATGAAAGATTTTTTTTGTTACAACTTGTTGGATTTGTTACTAATCAGAATAATTAAGAAACCCAAATTTAAATGTACAATTTTATTAAAAATAGGTGTAAAATATGAATTTTATATATTTTTCATTAATGATAAAAAATATAAATATGTGAGTATAAATTAATTACCGTAAAACGGGGTTAAAAGAAACAATATGGACTTTCGAATGCAAATTAACTATATAAAAACAATGTTTATGGTATTAAATCTGCTTTGATCTTGGGAGTCTTACTATAAATTATAACCTTATTTGTTTAAAAATGGTAAATTATTTGAACCTTGTGAAAAAAACTCCAAAAACAGGCCAATTTCCATTTGCGCGGAATATGGGGTTAATAGATACGGCATATGGGGTTAATAGATACGGCATATGGGGTTAATAGAAAAAAATTACAGGGTTGTCAAAATATTATACTCTAATACTATGACGGCATTTTATTTAATATATAGTATTATATATATATAGTAGAGAATAATAATATAGTAGAGAAGAAACCTAATTGAGAAACTCAATTACATATATATATAAAATTGAATGAGAAATGATTGAGAAATATGGTTGTAAGAAAAACTTTATTGAAACGCTAAAAGAACATCAAACAAAAACATCAACAAACAAACTGAGCATAATGTTATCCATTATACAGTAAATCAATAAACTATTACGAAACAAACACACATATATAAATCAAATCACAACAGTTTTTTTGAATTCTCCCAAAATATTGCTTTATGCGTTGTTTTCTAGGGCGTCCATCAGCATTACAAGCAAGAGCGGAAAACTTCCTTTCGGAATACTTGCTTGTTGTCGACCATCTGTTTTTTTTTCCACTAGCACAATATATTTCGCCAAGCAGTTTTCATCGGTTTAAAAAATGCTACATCCAATGGCTGAGTAATGTGCGTTGTGTTAGCTGGCAGAAATATGAAATGTATTTTTTCTTTATGACACAATTTTGCAGTCCAAGTATCATATATATGCTGCGCCTTGTACACAACATAAGGATACAATAGTTCTCCCTCTGCTGTGCACGCGATCATGATAGAATAGGCAGACTTGGAGTGGTTCATCACTCGTTCCGCATATTTTACGCCTTTTTTTGTGATTATTTTTTTACGGTCAGGTTCAGTCATCAGAAGGGTTGGTTTCGTCGTAATTAATGATGTTGCACATCGATACACCATTCAGTGATATTTCCAATTCTTCAAAAAAATTTTTTATAATTTCCGGTGAAACAGCAGATCTATTTCACGTGGCATATTTCAGTCAGTTTACCTGCATATGAAATAAAAAAAAAATAAATATAGTTACATACTTGAAACATTTTATATATTTCTACACTTATGAAATTTAGTTTTCCGGCTATTTTTGGGACGTAGTGCAGAATGAAATATTGAAAAAATCTTAATAATTTAATTATATATTTAGGTAGGGATTTTTCTAATTAACATAAGAACCCGACTGTGTTCTATACACTTGCCGACATGAAATCAAAGTAAGTGACAACCCTAACCAAACTAGTTCTAAAAACCCCCCCTTGGCGTTTCTATTTAGACATTCCTCGTTTCCATTCTCCCCTTTCCCGTTTCCATTAACCCCATAGGCCGTTTCTATTTACCCCTCAGTCGTCTCTATCCACCTCTAAATTGAAGAATATTTAAGTGTGTTGAGTTTTTATACAAAATATATTAATAATCATACTAATCAGAACAACTTACCTTTAGAGATTGTACACGGTGAAATTCACCATTAGACAAATTAATTTTTTGTTCGAAAGCACTTATTATCTTTTTTTATAAAAGAAGTTAGAAAGAGCGTAAAATCACACAAAAAAAAAAACCGTTGTCGTTTGAAGTCAATTTTTCAAATATGTTGCTAACTTTAACCTCTCCAAGTGTTGTCAGACAAAAGAAAATATGTTGCCATTTAAAAACAAATACAAATAATTGAGATTTCTGTAGTACTTTTTGAATCACGAGGTTTTAGAAATTTTCCTAAAAATATTTCTATTCACCCCGTAAATTCTATTCACCCCGTTTTACGGTACGCTTTGGAGACTCAAAAATTCAAAATTCTTCTGCCTTTTTGTCACCTTGATGGGGTTAGAACTTCTTGTTAATGGTATTTTTTTTTTCTATTCAGAAATTATTAAATAGTTTCCTAATAGTTAATAAAAAAATTTAATATAAAATTATTTTTAATTTATTTCCCTTTTTTATTAATAAAAATGTAATTTCATGGAATATTTAAAAATAGTTCGAAGCAGTTGACTGATTTAAAATTTGCTGCCAATAAGCTGTTCAAGTTTTGCCGCACTGACCTCTGAAATTCGATACTCTAATTCGCAATCATATTTATTCTTTCAATAAAATTGCAAGTTTTTGATTTGTGCTCTATCGTCTTTATTATATTAGTTTTTTGTCGCTATTAGCGTGATTTAGAACTAGGGTTTCGTTGTGTCAGTTTCTAGATTATTTTTACAATCTACGATTTAGTGACGATTACACGAAAAATAATTGTATACCCAACAATTATTTTTATTCTGAGCTAAAAAAGTTCCTGCATGTTATAATAATTATTATGAAGCGGGGTAAGGTATGCCTTAAAAATACTTATACAATATATGAACACAGTTAGCAGAAAAATAGTTTTTAACAAAATAAAAATCGACTTCAAAAACTCTATTAGCACTGAAAAATTTAAAATACTAATAAATCAAATCTAGTAAATGTAACCTACACAATCGGCGTCTAACTGAAACCGGGACTAAAAAAGGAAAACGGTTAAAAACAAATAAGGAAAGAAAAACGCGAAAATAGATTGTCAAAAATGAGATCCTTTATGGTAAGTATGTTAAATACCGTACCTAAATCTAGAAAGTTTCAATAATCGTCATAGTTTAAATCGCACTCGTTTGGCTAACGAAAGTGGAGAAGACTATCATTGTCTATTTTTAATCCGCAACCGATTAGCTAATGAGATTCAAAAAGACTACGATCACCGCCTTGCTTTAATACATGCCCGTTTACCAAATGAAACTGACGAGCAACAATTACGATTGCATGTACTAGGTACGTACTGTGATTCAAGCCAAAGGTTCCTTAGTGGTGAAACTCCAGAAGCTAGTCGTAAGATTATATTTGGTTTAGCTGTAAGGAATACAGGAAATATATTAAGTGCTGAACAATTTCGGCAGGTGATAAATATTTTAGCTACCATTCGATTAAAAATTTATTTACAACCATTATTCATCGTGATGGCGAATTGACGGCCCAACTTGAATTGTTTTACGAACGTCAGAGAAAATCGTTGATAAGAGAATTTGTCGATGGAGTTGCGGTTCGAATTTATGCCCTACTAGTTGCTGCCCGCGACTACGTCTGCGTAGAATAGGCCTTAGGCTTAACATTCAGACAGAAAGACAGATATAGATAAACTATATATATAAATTATAGCCTATGTGTTATTCTGATGTATAAGCTATATTATTGTAAAGTTTCATTAGAATATGACAGGGTTATGTTGGGTTCTTACCCACTAGAACCCCCTCGGTGGCCACCTTCTGTACGTTAGGAGGGACTCCTGAATCTCCTATGGAACGCACCGGTGTCCTTCGGTACCGGGCGTGAGCACGCCTCGGAAAAGGGTCAACCGTCCCCGATTCTATCGCCATCTTGCAGCATCTCGCGGCCACTTCCAGCTGCTGCCAATCCGTGTCCCCTTTTACGACAGGCAGGAGATAACTTAGTCCTATTCTATGAGCCTGGGACTACAGGGCTGTACACAATTAATGCTGCCGATGAATCTCGTGAAATTTCAACATACGGAAATTTGCCGCCTAGTAATGTATTTTTTTTTGTGTTTTTTGTATTTTTACTTTATCTTTTACGTACATGTTTCTGATTGTAAATCCTTGGTACATTTTTCTTTAATTTTTTCCCCGACTCGTAGTATAATAACTAGGGTTTACTGAAAACTGGTGCTGTGGTTTCCACCGCAGCAGGAGCCGAGTGAATGCTTTATTTTTTTCTTTGTGATATTAAATAAATTTCTTTCTTTTTTTTCTAATTTCTAGGGGTAAAAATAACTGTTGAGGTCTTTTATCAACATTACAATTAGGGATAGAGCCACGAGTAATGCCGAGGCAAAATATTTCTGTGTTCGATGGGCTCGTAAATGAGGTTTTGCGCTTCGTTAAAAACATTAAATGGCCTGCTTTACGAAGTGAGCAAATGGAGAGTGGTGTATTACCTGATGCTGTATAATTATATAATTCGATGACGACAGTATTGGCAATAGATTAAAAGATTCAGACGGTTTTATAGCAATATCCCTAGTAATAGCCACATATTAGGCAACTAAAGAATACTACAATGTAGCGGAAGGATTTTACCCTTAATATTGAGCTGGGCATACACATTTCACAAATTACAGGGTACAATGTTGGACAGAGT